GGGGGGGGCGGTGGGAGGGCTTCTGGTGTTCTGGCCCCACTGCCGGACCTCCTGAGGGCACCTGGGTTTTGTCCAGTGTTTCCTCTAAGTGCAAGCTAGCTAACAGTTTTTTAGCCTCCGGCTCATACATTTTTGTCTTAATTCAGGAAAGATGTCTCCAGAGCAAACTAATTTATGCAGTAGCCAAATTACTCACTCATAGCTTTAATGCCAGTCGCTCACAAGGGAGCATCCCGGGATGTGATATCAGAGTCATGTGACAGGAAGAGGGGGAGCTGGACCATAACCAACAGACCGAAAGGGCCAAGGACAAGAAACAAAAACCAGTCATCAAGAGGTTCTGGTGATGTCAGGGGGTGTGGCCTTATGACACACTTCTGGTAATGTCAGGGGATGTGGTATATGCTAATGAGTTATGCTAATGAGCTCCGGCAGCTCTTTTTCTACAAAAAGACCCCTGGTATCACCATCTTCCAGTCCAGTTTGGCTCTAGAAATTTTCTTCCACAATAATTTCTATCCACTGCATGAAAGGCTGTCTCAATGTTCAATTTATAGCCTGTTCTTCCCTATAATTTTTGTTTGTTAAATTTTAACTGCAAAACAGCTCTCTTGTTGAGTAACCCAATCTAAGTCTTACCAGCTGTTACAAAAGATTATCTTCTGTCAGCCTGATCTTTTACTAATAACAGATGATGATGGAAAATGCCATCAAGTCACAGCCAATTTATGGCGACCCCATAGGGGTTTTCAAGGCAAGAGACATTCAGAGGTGGTTTGCCATTGCTTGCCTCTGTGTAGTGACCCTGGACTTCTGTGATGGTCTCCCGTCCAAATACTAACCAGGGCCAACCCTGCTTAGCTTCCAAGATCTGATGAGATCAGGCCAGCCTGGGCCATCCAGATCAGACACTGATCATATAATGTTGCTGTTTTCAAGAAAGAAACAGACACCGCAGGTGGAAGATCTAATCATAAATCTTTCTGTGTCTCAAGTTTGCCCTATAGCTGGGAAATTCCTCTTGTGCACAGCTGTGTTCTATTTGCTTCCACTTTGGAAAACATAACTGTTCACTTTTGTTTGGCTGGAAGTATAAGGTGTTAATCGTACAATCCTTAAGTCTGATTTTGTCCATATCGGGCAGGTCATTTTAAGGAAAAGATGGTAATAACATTTGGACACTTTTATTATTGATGGTAAAAATGAGGTAAGCTTGATGATGGGAACTAGGTAGTCATTTATAGTAATAGTTGTTTTCTCCTCCTTTGCACTAGAATGATTCCACTAGCCCTTTATCAATTGGAGGAGCACCACTGGATATCCCATGGGCTGTCAAGGTAAGTGAAGGGAACAGAAGCACAACTGGGCAAATACCTATTTTAGTGAATCTATTCACATTGTTATGCCTTCCTTCCTCCATAATAGAATACCCTGCCTTTCGCTGAGCAGAATGTTAGGGTAGAATCCTTTATGGCAAAATAAAACCTACCATCCTGCTCTGTTCTGGCTTGAGTTGGCAGCTGTTGATTGGCATAAAATCTTTTCTTGCCCTAGATTTCTGATCCAATTCTTGAGAAGTGTGCCTATTTCTCTTGATTCTAGTCAACTGATAGACTTTCTGTGGGTCAAATAACGAATAAATATACACTGCAAGAAACATTTGTAAATTCACGTGTTCTGTTTATAACTATCATTCTATAAAGTGCATAGTGTGCTATTATCCTTGTCAGGTACATATATTCAGTACATTTAGTTTAATAATAACATTCATTAATTCAGTTTAACAATTACCAGTCAATTTAGCATCCATATTTTAAAAGTCAAGCCCCAACAGAAGTTTCCAGAATTACAAGCCCGCTTCTACTTGCATGAAGTCTTCCAAAAGGAGGGGGGGGAGCTTTCATTTATAGTTGTGTTGCAGCTAAGATTCATGGAGGGAGCACTCCTGTTATTCACAAGGACATTTCTGTGGAGCAATAGATGTGCCATTTCTTTTCGTTTCCTTTCTAGTCTCTGTTGGACATGTATGGAAAATTTCACAGAAACTCAGCAAACTATAGCAGTTTGCAGATTTAGGTCTGCAGCTTTGAATAGACCTTTTTTCAGGAGAAAAGTCTCTACCAGAGAAGTTTTCAGCCTTTCTTCATACAGATTCGTTCACAATGAAGGAAGGAATCCCTGTATTTTGAGGTCCAGTAAGATTAAGTGGAAAGGAAAAACTATTTTTACATGGAGCATGTGATGCTAGTTCTTAGGTTTCTTCTTGCTTGGGCATTAACACTGGAGTACATGATAGAATTGTTGCATGTCAGATATGTAAGATTTATCTTTTTAGCCCCAACGCCCTTTAGCAGCAATGGATCCCTTGCACGTATATTTTACAAGCAGAATGGGGTAAAAAAATACATTGTTCACCATCCATATTTGATATTTCAAACATCTATTTTATATTTGAGAATTCATAGCAATCTTGTAAGAATAGGTTCCCAGGTGATTTTCTACAGTTCAAAGTTTTCACTGCTTTGTCCTCTTTTTACCACTCTGCATACTAGAAAACCACTGAATTTGCTTCTTATGCTATTGGGTATACCATGGCTTTGCTAGTCATGCTTCATTTGTATAAATTAATCTAAAATATGTTCCTTATAGACATTAATTAACATTTGCTTGTACAGATGTTCAATTAATTTTAGCCTCTTATTTTGACAACCAGGTGGAAGACAAGTCCAAGTATGATGCTATCTTTGACAGTCTGAACCCAGTCAATGGGCTTCTGTCAGGTGACAAAGTGAAACCTGTTTTGCTAAACTCCAAATTGCCAGTTGACATCTTAGGAAGGGTAAGAATTGCAAGCTTTTTAGTAGTGCAAGTATCTATTTACCTGGGGTGAGCAGTGTTTTGGGATTATGTGGGCTGATGCTTCGTAAATGGTGGAGAATGTCCTTGACAAAAAATCCTCCAGAATGACCTCTGAGGTCTCCCTTTTTTAATACACGTGGGCTAAAAGAGTATATTTTCAAGACAGAACACTCTCCCATTTCCAGTGAAAACCTGGTGAGTTAGGATCCACCTGCATATTATGCAAAGTTTGTGCAGCTTTCCCCAAGTCATTTTTTAAAAAGGTGGGATATTGTACCCAGAAGGATGAGTGGAGGGCAGGTGCTGAATCATTCTCCTGCATTCAGTTTTCCTGTTATAGTTGCTTCGTTTTGAGGTGCTTTTCTCCAGCAAGGAGAAGAACACTTCAAAGGGGAGTGATTTGGAGAAGAAAGGGGTAAGCAGCAAGCCTACCTGCCCTTCCTGTCCATCAAGCAACTGCTTTTCATTAAATGAATGACTTCATGGGGGTAGGGCTGCCAAGCTGCGGCGGGGGATCCGCATGTCTTCACAGGATCCCTGCTGCGGGGGACAGCGATACGCGTTGCACCGCCATCGCCAGGTGTTGCGCGGTGCGCACATGGCGGCCTGATGCCAGGAGAAGGTACTTGCCAGCCTCTAGGACTATTTCAGCCACACCAACCTTGCCAGCCACACTCCAGCAGTCAGCAGCACCTTCAGCCTATATAGTACCACGCCACACAGTTCTTTGTGGTGAACTATATACAGTTTATTCACAGAATATACAACGCTCCGTCAAAATGCTTCGCCAAACACCGTGATTCACAAAAGGAAAAG